TGTCTTTTCAGTCTAGAGTCAATAATCGTGTTTCTAGTCCATTTGAGTTGATACATTTTGATGTATGAGGTCCAATAAAGAATATTTCATCTAATAAATATCCTTATTTTGTGTCATTTGTGGATGATTATTCTTGTGTGACCTGGTTGTTTCTGATGAAAGCTCGTTTTGAATTATTCTCTATATTTGAGACATTTCGCAAGGAAATAGAGACTCAGTATGATTGTCATATACGTATTTTACGTTATGATAATACTCGAGAATATGAATCTGATCCTTTTTCAGCTTATCTTAGTAAAATTGACATTATTCATTAGACATCATGTACTTACACCTCTCCACAGATTGGTGTTGCTGAATGCAAGAACTGTCATTTATTAGAAGTTACCTGTGCCTTTTTATTCCAAGTGAATATTCCTCAATTTTTTGGAGTGACGTTGTTCTTACTGCTTGTCATCTTATTAATCGTATGTCATCCTTTGTGTTAAATGGGCAAAATCCATATTCTGTCATTTTTTTGGTAAGCCCTTATTTTCCTTAGCTCCTAAGGTTTTTGGATGTGTCTGTTATGTTCACAATTTGGGTCTTGGGTTTGATAAACTTAACCCTCGAGCTACCAAATGTATATTTCTTGGATACTCCCGCACACAGAAGGAGTATCGTTGCTATAGTTCTTCTCTACAACAATATTTTACTAGTGTCGATGTCACGTTTGAGGAATTTGTTCCATATTTTTTGACACTTGCTCAGCCTCTATATCTGGACTTTGGGTCATCTCTTGTAATACCATCTCTTCCCTCATCTTCAGATATTCCACTGTCTACTGTGTTACCATCTGCTTTACCTCTTCGTGTATACTCCTGTCGTCTTCGCCCATCGACTGAGGTGCCCGTACCGTCTTCTTTGCCGCTTTCTGATTTTGGTACATCAGGTAATTTAGACTCTTTACCAATTACTCTTCGAAAAGTTACTCGTTCGTGTGTTATTAATCATCTCATTACTCATTTTGTTTCATATGATGCCTTATTTTCTGTCTTCTCTTGTTTTACCTCTCAATTATCTACTATATCTATTCCTAAATACTTATAGGATGTATTATCTGATCCGGATTGGAGGAAAGCTATGGAGGAGGAAATGGATGTCTTACATCATAATGAGACTTGAGATTTCGTTCCTTTACCTCCTAGTAAACGAACTGTTGGTTGTTATTGGGTGTATACTGTTAAATTTCATTCGAATGGTTCTATGGAGCGTCTTAAAGCCCGACTTATTGCAAAGGGCTTTACTCAGACCTATGGTATTGATTATGAGGAGACTTTCTCTCCTGTTGCCAAAATTTTATCTGTTCGTATCTTGATTTCTTTGACTACTAATCTCGATTGGCCCTTATTTTAGTTAGATGTCAAGAATGCCTTCCTACATAGAGACTTGGTTGAAGAGGTATACATGGAGCAGTCACTTGAGTTTATTACTCTGGAGGAGTACAATAAGAGTGTATGTCAGTTAAAGAAATTTTTGTATGGTTTGAAGCAGTCATCGAGGGTATGGTTTGATAAGTTTTCAAATGCAGTTTTAGAGTTTGGTCTTCTTCAATGTCAGACCATTTTGTATTTCATAGACAGACGAATATTGGATATGTTCTATTGGTAGTCTATGTAGATGATATTGTGATTACTGAAAATGATTTTGAGGGGACAGTCAATTTAAAAATCTTCTTACAAGATCAATTTCATACTAAAGATTTGAAAAAACTCAGGTCTTTCTTGGGTATTGAGGTGGCTCGACCTAAACAGGGTATTTGTTTATCCTAGAGGAAACATGTACTTAACATGCTAGAGGAAGCACTATTTGAAAATTTGGGTCGGTATCGCAAATTGATTGGGAAGCTCAATTATCTTACTATTACTACGCCGGATATTTCCTATGCAGTCAGTTTATGGGGTGTCCTAGAGTACCACATTGAGAGGCAGTTACTCGTATTCTGCGATATCTCAAACGTGCTCCTGGTCTCGGACTGTTATATCGAGCCAATGAACATCTTAGAGTAGAAGATTTTTTAGATGCTGATTGGGCTGACTCTCCTTCTGATCGGAGATCAACCATTGGTAATTGTATTTTCTTAGGAGGTAACGTTGTCTCATGAAAAAGTAAGAAACAATCTGTGGTAGCAAGATCCAGTGCTGAGGCTGAGTATAGGGCAATGGCGCATACGACGAGCGAGTTGACTTGACTACTACACTTCCTCCAGGAAAATTGGATTTCTGTTTCAACCTCCTTTACAGTTGTTATGTGACAACATGACAACTATCCATATCGTTGTCAATCTAGTGTTTTATGAGNGACTACTACACTTCCTCCAGGAAAATTGGATTTCTGTTTCAACCTCCTTTACAGTTGTTATGTGACAACATGACAACTATCCATATCGTTGTCAATCTAGTGTTTTATGAGAGAACCAAATATATTGAGATTGATTGTCACTTTATTCGAGACAAGATAGAAGCCGAAGAAATTACGACTCTATTTGTAAAATCTGAAGATCAGCTTGTAGAAATGTTTACCAAAGGATTGAACCGTACACGTCTTACAGCAATTTGTTTCAAGCTTGGATTATGTGATATATATATAGTCCAACTTGAGGGGGAGTGTTAAAAGTATTAGGGTATTNCCGTACACGTCTTACAGCAATTTGTTTCAAGCTTGGATTATGTGATATATATATAGTCCAACTTGAGGGGGAGTGTTAAAAGTATTAGGGTATTATGTGTGAACTGTTAAGAGTATCAGGGTATTATGTGTGAACTGTTAAGAGTATTGGAGTATTATGTGTAAATATAAGAGGGTGTATTTGTCTTTCTGATTATTGTAAGATAACTATAAATACAAGTGATATATGAAAAGTAGGTTAAGTTTTGATCCTCTCTTTGTCTCTAATATTGTGTTAATCCTCCCAACTTAACATACTTTACTATCGAAAAGTCTTCCAATGGAAATCTNAAGTAGGTTAAGTTTTGATCCTCTCTTTGTCTCTAATATTGTGTTAATCCTCCCAACTTAACATACTTTACTATCGAAAAGTCTTCCAATGGAAATCTTGTATGTTTTCCCCTNTCCCAACTTAACATACTTTACTATCGAAAAGTCTTCCAATGGAAATCTTGTATGTTCTACCCTTCAGTTTTTTTATTTCAAAGCTTAGTAGGAAAAATAATAAGTGAATAGAAAAACCAATCTGTTTTTCGAAGGAATGCAGAGTAGGTTGTGACCGTAAATTATGCATGTTGACTTTCATAGTGGTGCTTCTACTAGGGATTCATATGTTTGCCTGGTTTGAGGAAAGCCCTGATCTTGGTAGAGCACTCCACTCTGTTAGTATCATGTGGGCCGTTCGGAGGGAGCAAGTACTGATGGGAGCAACAAACATTTAGTGAAATTTGGAATTGCAGGACAGACAAACAAGGCAATACTATGACAAAATTATTCTCACAAATGAATCCTGTATGTGATCTTTACCAGCTTCATTCAGAAGTATACTACTCAGCACAATCACCATTTATGTAATAAAGCATCTCCAATGCATTGGGCTATATTTCGCATGTGCAAACGTTATATTTTGGTATGCTACAAAACCAGAAGGTTATGTTTTGGCATACCCACTCCAATGGTGAAATTTCGTCTTTTGGCAATTGGCATAACCACCAAATGATTCAATCGTGTGTATCTATCTAATTACCTTTGCCACCAATACGCCATGGGGNATTTCGCATGTGCAAACGTTATATTTTGGTATGCTACAAAACCAGAAGGTTATGTTTTGGCATACCCACTCCAATGGTGAAATTTCGTCTTTTGGCAATTGGCACAACCACCAAATGATTCAATCGTGTGTATCTATCTAATTAACTTTGCCACCAATACGCCATGGTGNCATACCCACTCCAATGGTGAAATTTCGTCTTTTGGCAATTGGCATAACCACCAAATGATTCAATCGTGTGTATCTATCTAATTACCTTTGCCACCAATACGCCATGGGGTATGACTTGCCGATGGTATCCATTCCCAATGGGCAACCCTGTCCATTTCTTGTAGTGAACAAAGCCAAGTTATTAACAATTAGTTGATTGGCTGGTTGCACAAGATCCTTTTGTGTACTTTTGTTTGCCACATAACTATTTTAATCGTTCTTTTTATTAGGTTTAAAGAGTAGGAATTCCGGTGTCTTACAACATCAAGATTGATCCTTCTGGATACGTACACTACTCAAGTTCCACACACATCAGGTTATACTATGACAAATTCATGGGATGGTCCCCCGAGGGAACTTCTGAATTTTACTAACGAAAGCATCATATACTTGCTTTCGAAAATTAGAGAAGAGATGTCANGAATTCCGGTGTCTTACAACATCAAGATTGATCCTTCTGGATACGTACACTACTCAGGTTCCACACACCTCAGGTTATACTATGACAAATTCATGGGATGGTCCCACGAGGGAACTTCTGAATTTTACTAACGAAAGCATCATATACTTGCTTTCGAAAATTAGAGAAGAGATGTGATCAAATCTACTCATTTTCTAAAATCCACCTCCCATTAGGTATATCATCATTAGTAACTTGTAAATACGTTTTGCTTCAAGAAGTTTGTAATTTTAGCATTATGCAGCTGATATTTTGTTATCCCATGTAAGTTGAGGTATAGGATATGGCCTAATCTCTCCAGGTTTCCAGGTTAGTTTCTAAACCAGTTAAATAGACAGAGAACTGCTTTTTGGTGATTGCATTTCTAGAGTTGTTTATCCTTCGGACTAAAATAAGAGGATAATCTCCATCAATGTTCCCCATTCAGCTTCCTAAAAGCAACACATGCAATTCCTTTAAAGCAACTGTTACTTTTAAGTGCTAATTTATTTATTTTATTATCGGCTCTAGAAGGTTGTTCAGTCTATGTAAGATGATAATTTTTGCCCAAGACATACTTCTTGAAAGCAAAACTTTTCTTGCATTCCGGCTCTTAGCAGTCAATGCACCACAAATTTTTTTCTTTTCCAAGGCATGCAACTTGCACTTACAAAAATGATGTCAAATGCACAGAAAGAGCATGCGGATCTCAATCTTACTTGAGAACTCACCTAACTAAAACTTGGACACTTCACTAATTCATTTTCAATCCACCTAAAAAGAAAACAAAGACAAACATGTTGAATATGACCAAATGGAGAAATTGATTACTTGGATTCTTTAAAACCCCTTTATACAAACTCAGAAACCAGCTGGAAATCCACCCTTTCTTGGATCACTTACAGCAACAAGCTCCCCAAGCTTCAAAGGCCCCAACTTTTGAACAACAAATTGACAAACACTCCCACGAGCAAGGCTTCGCAGGACATGACCCTTCTTTCGTAGAGCTATCCTCGTCTTTGCAGGAACTTCAATGTGGTCATGAGTCACAGTTGTCCAATTTTCATAATACAGCACACCAGGAATCAACTGCATTCATAATTTTTCTTCAGTTAAGAGGTCAAAGGCTAGCCACTGGTGTGTTGGAGCAACAGTTAGAAAACCAGGTTACAAAGAAATTCTAATTGTACTAGGGACCTGATGATAATATCTCGGAGCCAGGACAGAAGAGAGTGGATCCAGTTTGTTAGCAAAATGGTTCAGGAATACCTCGGTAGTCCCAGCAATTATCAAGGCTCCCCCACTTGCGCCGAAAACAGCTTTCAGGCGTTCCCCCTGCAAACAAATGAAGCAGATGTGATGCAGCAAAGACAACCCACGCCCTTATGTTTTCTTCCTTGACCTATATGAACCTCATACAGAGTTGCGCAAGTTGGTAGAGCGTTGGGTTTTAACATAATAGTCGCAGGTTCAACTGTTCAAGTCCTGCTATACCCAAACCTACCTTTCACTCTACAATAAGTAAGGATGCATAGTAGCATTAAAAGGTCACTAAACACATAATTATCTCCAGAGAAATCAAACAATTACGATTAGAATGTCAGATGACCGTTGCATCAAAATATTCTAGTTGAATCGCATAATATATTTGGTTTGAGTGGACATTTATAGACTTGAATGTTATCAGGGCTGGTTATAAGCAATTTGAGACCTAACGTAACCACTCTAAGTGATTTATACTTAGATTTTACCAAAGGTTGCAGATAGGGATGAATAATTAAATTTGAAGCACCTTTCTTCAAGGTGAGAAAAGAGATTGTAGAAGAAATTTACAAAAAAGGAAATGCTCGTAAGCGAAGAGGTGTAGATAGAAGTTTGCTAAAACTCAATCAGCTTTTTAACGTTATGGAAGATGAAAATATTCTCAATGTTATTTTAAAAACTGAACTACTCTATCTTTTGGGCTTTTTCCGAGTTGGGGCAGCTAGGTTGATTTTGCAAGCCATTCTCCAAAACCATCCTTGTTGATTCCAAAACACCTGAATGCTGGGATGGTATTAAGGAAAAGATTAGGATAAATTAATCAAAAAAATCTTTCCCAAGGTGAGGCCCTGTGCAACTGCTTGAGTTGCATATAGCTTGAGCCAGGCCTGAATGTGATTTTAGTAGATTAAAAAGGCATTGCACAACATTATTGATAAACCGAGTGATTTATCATTTGACGTAATTCCAATTCAAGTGATCACGCTCTGAAGAGCAAAAGAGAAGCACATTACCTTTAGGACAATGGTGGGTGACATAGATGACAATGGCCTTTTGGAAGGAAGGATGAAATTTGCAGCAGCTGCTGCTGGTGTATTGCCAGCAGGGACAGAAAAATCATTCATCTGATTGTTAAGGAGAATCCCAGTACTTGGTGATAGAAATCGCGATCCAAAGAAGAAGTTTATAGATGTAGTCAAGGACACAGCATTTCGTTTACGATCTACAATAGATATATGAGTGGTGCCCTGGTCAGTTAATAAGGGAGAGGTGACCTGGGTAGGGATCTGATTCCACCTATAAAGAACAAATATTCAATAAGACAAATTAAGCCAGGCAGAAGCATTATTGAAGGGCATCCATGGCCAAAACANCTGATTCCACCTATAAAGAACAAATATTCAATAAGACAAATTAAGCCAGGCAGAAGAATTATTGATGGGCATCCATGGCCAAAATACCATAAAAATGACATAGTTAAAATAATGTCTCAGGTAGACATTTTTGAAGAACTTGACAGAGGAGAGTAGAAATTGTTTAGGGAACAAAATGTCTAAAAGCTTAAGCTGCTAGCTAATGGACCCTCGGTATCTATCAAGGTTCCAATGCCCTTCTTCACGTGTGACCCTCCGCTCACACGTGCAGGAGACATACAACAAAGTGCATTGATGTGCACACATAGAACATAAACATGATGCCTCACTATGGACAAATATAATGGGGGAACAATGCTAACAGTGCAACTTGAACACAAGCCTTGAGCAACAAAAGATTTGACATTATGCTAAAGCATTCAACTCAAATCAATTGACAATGAATAGTCTCACAAATTCCAATACTCGTTTGGGGGATGTTATATAATGATGTGGGACAACCTTGAATACTATACGCACAAACGAGAGGGAACAACAATCTGGTCCAATAATTTTGATAGTTTTTTTCAACATGCTCTATATTGTATTGAAAAATTTTCCACCAGAACACTATCATCTTGATACTTCTCTATGAACATTATATGCTCCTGACCATGCAGCTCACAGGCATCTTCCGATCTATCCACCATTCTAAGTGCAACTGAATACATGGGATTCAATATAGATCTTAGCTAAAAGAATTGATAATGACAAAGTTCACCAATAACACAACTATAATACAAATCACCGCTTGATGTACTACTCTCTCTCTCTTCCTCTTTGGGGGGGGAAAAGAGATTATACACAATCTAGACGGCGCCACACATCAAGATGCAGGGGTTTTGAGGTNCACAACTATAATACAAATCAAGGCTTGATGTACTACTCTCTCTCTCTTCCTCTTTGTGGGGGAAAAGAGATTATACACAATCTAGACGGCGCCACACATCAAGATGCAGGGGTTTTGAGGTTAAGTCATCTTCTTTTGGGCCATCATTCATGGTTTTATCTCAGTAACTGCCCAATGTGTGTGGATTTGAAAGATTGCAAATGTGTGGGATGATTATTTTAGTGCAGCATATCTCCCTCTGATTGAACTGCAAGCAAGAATCAAAATTTCATTTTCTTTCCACTGAAATGATCAAAACATTCTAATTTCGACGGAAACCACAATGAAAAATGATTGAATATCAAAGTCCTATGTTACAAAGTGTTTTAGGATGTTTTAGGATGTATTGAGATATTTCGGGATGTTTGGGAATCAAAATTCTGAATTTTTTCATTTGGTTTCCATAACATTCCAAATTGTTTCCAAAATATTGTTGTTTCCAAGTTGAGTAAAATAATGCACNGATCAAAACATTCTAATTTCGACGGAAACCACAATGAAAAATGATTGAATATCAAATTCCTATGTTACAAAGTGTTTTAGGATGTTTTAAGATGTATTGAGATATTTCGGGATGTTTGGGAATCAAAATTCTGAATTTTTTCATTTGGTTTCCATAACATTCCAAATTGTTTCCGAAATATTTTTGTTTCCAAGTTGAGTAAAATAATGCACCGAAATGGAATTTTTTGTCCTTTAGTACAAGGGAAATGGAAAAAAAAAAAAAGATGCTTTTAAGAAAATAAATCAAATGATTCATGGACAATTTGCCACCCATTTTTGCATAATTGACCAAGCCACACGAGCGTGGTCAAATATTAATTACTTGGCCCAATGATTGGAGTCAACTGAAAAATCTAAGCAGCACTGAACTTGTATTCATATAATAACTGCGTATACAGATATAAGCATGCACAAGAGTTGGCTTAAAGCCTCACATAATATAAATGAGACAAATTAAAAAAATAATGACAGCTACAGTGGGATAAACACATGATGAAGGGTTCTAGTCTGTCGATGATTAATTTGATTAATTAAAAAGCTGCTTACCTGCCACCATAGTGACTGGCTCTGGAAGTAACATTATCAGATGTCGTTTGCTTTAGCCCAGATGCAAAGTTAGTAGAGAGCATATCGGATAGAACTTCTTTTACATTAACAAAATCTGGATCACCAAGATTCATCCTCATAGCAAATGCATGTTTCAAAGCTTCAATGTGCCTATGGATACCAAGTGGGCCAGATACATTCAGAGGAAGCCCATATTGGGCAAGCAAGTTCAATATCTGTAGCAGTAGAAGCAAATGGAGTACATTATTTGAAACCCTCTACAAAGCATCATACTCAACAACAAAGGGAAAGCAAGAGATACACTTACAAGCACCATCGCAGCACCCCCAGAGGAAGGAGGAGGTATACCAAGTACTTTTAGCCCTATGATGCCTGCGGAAATCGGTTCTCGTAGTTTCACTTGATACTTCTGCAAGTCCTCCATTGTCAGTATCCCTCCAGCCTTGTGAACATCTGCAACAATATTGGATCCAATTGATCCATTATATAAGATGTTCAGGCCATATTTTGAAATTTTTCCAAGTGTATTTGCTAGATTTATATTGCGGCAGATGTCGCCTGGTTTCAAAAGGATCCCTCCCGGTGCAAATATCTCACGAAGTCCCTTATCTGCCTTTATTTGTGGTGCAGTTTTAACCATCTGCGTGTAGAGGAATGGTGAAATCTTGAATCCATTACGAGCTAGGTTCTCAGCTGGAATTACAAGTCTCTTCCATGGAAGCTTTCCGTATGATTTCCAAGCTTTGTGAAGGCCAGCAAGTTCCCCTGGAACTGCTATGGAGAGGGGACCACTAGCTTTCAGAGCAGGATTTTTGGCATATCTGGTCTAGAAATTAACGGTAAAGAGTTAGGTGGGGCTGCCTTCGTGTGTCCAATAAGCACTATTAGATTAACAATATCAGTGAGCAAGCTACTCTAATGAGTGCCAAAATAAGCTTTGCTACTATTAACACAAGTTGTCTACATTAAATAGCATAAATATTATAGCATCTCACTATTTTATTTACAAGGAAACCAAAATTTCAGGAAAGGAGCACAACCCAAGAATCACAACCTATACAAGGATCACAACAAAGAAAAACCCCTAATTACACAAAACTTCAGAAGGTCTACAGAAAACATCTCAGTGACTGTTACATTCTCCCAAATACCTAAAAACAACATATTAGAAAAAATTTGTTGTTGCATGATCGCTCTCAAGTCCTCCCTTTCAAATGCTATAACATATTATAGCATCTCCATTTCTGTCTCCTTGTTGACACTTCATAGAAAGACATCAACTTGAACAGTCCTGATAAAGCACATGTTCAAACACCCCCTTCACCAAGAATTGAGCCAACAGTGCACTCCCTATCCATCAACCTTTGCTAACACTTGTCAGCTCCTGCGAGTTCCACCCATTTCATGTTTCCTTCCACAACACTACACCTTGAGATATCCTCACCACCAAGAAGTCTAATCATATATGTAAAGAGAACTTATATCTTACATTGAATTGTTAGAATCATCCAAGTAGGTTTATTTAGTTAAGGGGACTCTTCACGTACCGCCAATGGGTTTTAATAGAGTGTTTTTACACTTAGGCCTTGGGTTACCAGTAGATCAAGTTTCATACCAATTTGAATTTTCCAGTATCCATGTTGTTAGCCCTATAGAGAAGTCAGGATTCCAAATGAGTGAGGACATGAAGAAGAGCTGTCATCCCACATTGAAGGGTCACCCATGGTTGGTTTCATCCCAATATATGGTTAAGAACCTCTCCACTTATTGCAAAGTGGCTTCAAGTCGGATATTTTAATAACAATATTTCTCCAGTAAAATTGATTTTTCACCCCTTTTGTCACTCAAGTGAAGAATGAGCATACTACACTATGGGTGTACTGAAAGAGGCATATTTAGGCAAACAACCTCATATTCCAAATCGCACTCTCTAACAGACCATAGAGTATAACTTTTGATGTACTTTGCATGCTTGATCAATAGAATCTTTTTATTTACCCAAAAAAAAAAAAATCGCATTCAAACTGAGAGTTGTGTTTGCTAACCTTCTCGTATTGGAACTAAAGCACTCAAAAGGTTACATCTTTCCAACTGCCAAAGGAAGAGATGTAAAGGTTATCTAGAGTACCTATTGTGGTGAACACATCATCTGGCATGTCATGTTTGGACAATATACTCGCAACCCAACTCTCCAAACCATTCATTTCCTTCAGACACTCACAAGTAGTACCAATTTGAAACTTCCACGAGCTTTTTTCCTCATTCGAAGGGGGAAGCATAGCGTATTTTATTTAGCGTATGCCCATTCCAAACCATACCCATATGAAAGCTCTCTTCGTTCTGAGGTTTGTTGTTTTTTCATTCCAATTGTCACAACATAAATGTTTCTAAGCTATCTTTACCTAGATTAAACCCCTCTATTTTCATTTGAATTTCTAACCTTTCAAAATCCTTAATAACTTTTCTGTCTTATTTTCTTTAACCTTCATCTTCTTCTGATTTAGGGTTTCATATTTCTCTCTCTAATCCTAAGTCCTGCTATAGATTTGGGCTTTTCCCACGGAACCACATAATTATTTATTTTTCCTTTCTTTTCTTTATGTCCTTTCCATAGTTCTGATTCACAAAACCTGTCCATTCTTTCATTTCCTTTTCTCGTAAGTTATACCCAATAACATCTTTGCCATCCCCTATTTTTCTAGTCTATTTTTCTCCTAAAATGGAAGCAAAATCTAGTTCTGAAAAAAATTAATCACTCAAGAATTTCTCTATACTCAAACCCTCTAAACTCCCAAGAAACCCGACAGTTCTGTATGGTGGGGAGGGTATTTTGAAAACTACCCTGAATAAACTAGGAGTAAGTAATGTGTTCTTAGGAGCTTGGAAAACTACAAAGGCTTTCTCCATAGAGAAAAACGCCTACATGTTTGTTTTTAAAGAGGAAGGTGATATAAACAAGATCAATGAGGAAGGCCCATGNGTAATGTGTTCTTAGGAGCTTGGAAAACTACAAAGGCTTTCTCCATAGAGAAAAACACCTACATGTTTGTTTTTAAAGAGGAAGGTGATTTAAACAAGATCAATGAGGAAGGCCCAAGTTCAGTTATGGAAGCTCTACTTGTTTTTAAAAAATGCTCTCCTTTGGCCACTTTGAGATATTACGATTTCCAATTTGCAGAGTTATGGTTTCAAATCTAGGGACTCCCGTTTGATATTATGGCTAAGAACAATGTTTGGAGGATTGGACAGGTGATTGGGAGCCTACCCAACAGGAGGATTCAAGTAGTCGTCTACCGCTCTCCAGAAATTATCTGAGGGTGAAGTGTTGCATTGATATTACAGAACTCCTTAGGAAAGGTTTTTTCCTGGTTCGAGACGATCGGGATGACCTGCGAATTACTTTTAGATTTGAGCGATTATCTGATTTTTGCTATTTTTGTGAACGTATAGGTCAGGGGCTTTGCTTCCTGATTATGGTCCGGAACTTCAAGCGATTCCAAATCAATCAACATTTTTCTTTAGGGAAAACTGGTCTTTGAAGGAGAAGATAGTAGGTGATATATTTAGAGAAGAGATCTTTCAAGGAAAAACCTATCGGAGTGTGGATCAATCGTTGGCAAGTGAAAAAGACTTTGACGGATCTACTCAATGTGCTACCTATGCGGAGGATGATTGTGGTGAAGGAATAGTGGAGGTCAGAGTAATAGAATCAGTACCAAGCTCTAGTGAGGCGACACGTGATGCAAGGGAGTTGGCTAGGGTACAAATGATTATGGAGGACCAGTTAGTTGTACAAGAGATGAAACAAAGAAGGAGGGTAGCAGAAGGGGTAAACCACCACTCTTATATCTTCTTTATAGTGGAATACAACCTATCAGCAAAGTCTGCTTAACATCACAAAAAGGCCCAAGTCCAATGGGTATTATGTCACAGAACCTCCAGAAAGCCCAACTAAGGCTCAATGTCTTTAGGAGTTGGTTTGGTTAACAAAAGTGGGGAGGCCTTAAGCTTGAGAGAAGGGGAAGTATAGAGAGATGGGCCAACCCAGGCAGAAGACCTAACCAGTATCCATAATGGGATGGGAACCTAATTAGCCCTAAATATTACAGATTTATCCTATCATTTTTGGACTAATTGTCACAGATTTGGGCTTAATTGTATATGGTTAATGTTATATTTTATTTTATCATGATTTAATTAGTGTTTGTCTATTTTGCAAGTAAAGTGGTGAGATTAGGAGACAAATAAGCAAACATGGGAGTGGAATACACAAAGGAAAGAAGAAAATTAAAGATTGAAGAATTGATGGCCACGTCCGGACATCAATTGTCGAAGTCCGAATATGAGGTTCTGTATCAGTGGCAAAAATAGGTTGAGTTTCTAGTATTTGACGTCCAAACGTAATTAAAGCCACGTCTAAATACGCGTTGAACTGCCTATGACTTCCGGATGTCATAAAATCCACATTCGGACGCGTGTTTATGCTCCCAGACAATGAGAAAGGTCCGATGACGCGAGAATGCGATCTTCTTCCTCTTTTGGAAAGTACTTTGGTACTTTCAAGAGTGCTTAGAGTTTCATACCAAATATGAAAATTTTGTATTAAGATTAATTTGATAATTTCTTCATTTTCACTTACTAATCCTGTTTACTAAGGCTAGGAGAAGTTTTAATACACTTGGGTATGTAAATTAGATCTTATGTCATTCATTTAAGGTTTTCTTGTATAATTCAATCCTTCTTATTTTAGCAAAGTTTTCTCCCTATATAATCTCTTGAAATATTATGCTATATGTAATGAATACTTGAGATTCCCTATGAGTTGAATGGTTAGATGTAAATGCTTGGGTTGAATTATTGGAGTTTTCCTATAATTATTTGATTCGTTGGTTTTTATGAATGTAGATGTTTGATTATTCAATTACTAGCTTTATCATAGACTCCGGGCATAGTGAATGTTTGTAATTGACAATTAGCTATGTGGATTTAGTTAGATTAACTCTTTGATTATACATTAGAGAATTTCCTAATTAATTATTGTCAAACTCTTTAATTGGGTTCACTCTCTAGTTGATTCCCAATACAATGCCTTAGTATTTCTCCTAAATCATTTTTTCTAAACAATTTTAGTTTATTTGTTCTAAATTTCAATTACCAAATCACTCTCAAACATTTACATATATTTTTTTTATGAATCCTTTTTTCACACTCCGAAATTCCCATCTCCCTGTGGATCAATCTTGGACTTTACCAAGATTTACTACTTGTTTAACAACCTATACTTGAGTTTACAACTTCCAAGGCGAAATAAGTTTTTGGTGTCGTTGTCGGGGAGGAGGCGCAATTGAGGAGTGTTCCATGGTCATTTGAGGTTTGCTCAGTTTTGCATAAGCGGAGATTGGATAAACTCCTTCCACTTTTACATACTTATCTTTGGATTTTGTTGCATTTTATTTTATTTTACTACTTGTGTTTGTTATTGTTTCATGAACTCTTGGCATAGAGATATTGGTGGAGGGTTGATTAAGGAAGATCTTGACCCATTATTTGGAGATTTATTGGACACACCTCCACGAGCACACACACATTGTAGAATGGCACAAAATCTACCAATGAGTCAAAACCCTTTGCTACCACCATATCCCCAATTAGTCCAAAATCCCGAGTTACCTCAAAACCCACATGGGGTGCGCAATACTTTCATGTCACAACCGGACCCAATCGGGGATTGATGCTAGGAGTAATCATGGTGACAATGAGGAGTATGAGGAAGTCAACAACGCGCATGCTAATGTAAATTTTAATAATGCTAGAACATTGAAAGAGTACTTACATCTTGCCCGCCACACTACACCTTCATGCATTATTTTTCCTATGCAAGCTCATTATTTTGTCTTTAAACTGGGCATGATTGCATCGTTGCCGACATTTCATGGTTTAGATTCTGAAAATCCCTATCTTCATATCTGTAATTTTGAAGAGATTTATGCTACATTCCAAGACTAACGACTATGGTGGGTATAATCTATTTGAAGCTTTTTCCCTTCTCTCTAAAGGATAAAGCAAAAATGCTCTTGAATTCCGTTATGCCAAGGTCTATTGGAACATGGCGGGAAATGCAAGAAGAGTTCCTTAAAAAAAAATTCTAACTCAGAAAACAAACTTTTTGAAGTGACAAATAATAAATTTCTCTCAAAAAGAAAATAAAATGTTTTACCAATGTTAGGAAAGGTACAAGGAACTACTTGTATCATGCCCTCATCATGGCTACGAAAGTTGGTGTATCATAATTTTTTTTATGAGGCTTTATCTTCACAAATGAGACAATTTTTAGAAATGATGTGTAACGGAGAGTCTATGGCTACATAACCAGAAGATGTTTTTGATTATTTTGATTCCTTGGCTAAGAGTGCCCAAGCTTGGGAAACTCAGAAAATAGCAATTGAGGGAGGAGGATGACTTGAATGCAAGGATTGTAATATTAGCTAGGAAGATTGAAGCGACAAATATGAAAAAAGTGAATGAGGTTCAAATTGTGCCTCAAGAGGAGTTGTGTGAGACCCTACACGTATTGCATGACATTTTGATAAATGTTATGGGCTAATGCGTACTTTATGATAATTTGTGATATTAATCTGGGGGTTAAATTATAGTTACAGGAATTATGACTGGTGGTGAAAATCTTGAATTATAACTGATGGGTCAAGCCCAAGAAGAACCCAATCTATTTGGAAAGCCCAAATCTCAATTGAAGAGCTCAATCTTATAAAGACCCATCAAGCCCGATATTGTCCAAGTCCAATCAAACTTACCAGTTTGGCTACGTCATCAAGAGAGAGAGAGAGCACGAAAGCCTCACCTACACCGCCAAGGAAACCGTCCACCATTGCCTTATCCTTGACCGCATCTCATGGAGAGCACCTCAACCACCTCGCCCGTTGAGAAGAAGTCGTGAGCTCCACCAAAATGGTTGTTTAGTTACTGTAAAATAGCCCCAACCTGTTAGGGGGCCACTATAAATTGCACGCCCCACCAACACTTGGGGGGCATCACACTTTACCTGAACACGACTCTCTCCTCTCCCTCAAAGCTTGTATTCTTTGCTCCCCACACCCTTGAGTTAATAAAGTACCCGGTGACTAAAGTCATTCAAGAGTGGACGTAGGTCAAGTTGACCGAACCACTATAAATTGTCTCTCCATCTCCTTACTTTAATTATTGCATTTATTATTCACACTTGACAGGTGGTGTAACAAAGCCATTTTGTGCACCATCAGTTTGGCGCCGTCTGTGGGAAAGGACAAAATTCTCACTCCAAAGCATTCCATTTGTTGAACCAATGGCAATCACTACCAGATCCATGAACCAACACAAAAACAATCCACCACGAGAAGAGGAGGTTGCTCCTCCACCTACCAACCCAGTNCACTACCAGATCCATGAACCAACACAAAAACAATCCACCACGAGAAGAGTTGCTCCTCCACCTACCAACCCAATCCCAAATGCTCCATCTCCAAATCCCCAGCAAATGTTGGAGACCATGCAGCAGCTAGTGGCCCAAAACCAACAGATACTGCAACTCATGCTCGATGGACAAGGAAGAGCACAACTTGGAGGTGCACAACATGGAGGACCCCAAGGAACTCCACGTCTTGGGCATCAAGAAACTCCACACCTAGGCGCCTCTGCAGGGCTGGGCACCCCCTTTGCAGTCCCCTTGGGCGCCCCAAATAAGGGAACCCCTCATGAGGGAGTTCCACCTCCTCCTCCTCCTCCTCCTCCTTCCCATGGTGAGGACCCTCATCTCCAAGAGTATAAGGGCGAGAACCAAAGCATAGAGTATGAGAGTCATTTTCATGATCATTCCAAGGAAGTTCCAAATCATTGGGATGAGAAAATGAAGGAAGTACAAAATCAACTGGGTGATGTCTTTAACGCCATGAAGGCACAGGGACCTAAGACAGTGGACTACCTAGTAAGGCGTACAGACACGCCNTTAGTGCATTTATTATTCACACTTGACAGGTGGTGTAACAAAGCCATTTTGTGCACCATCAGTTTGGCGCCGTCTATGGGAAAGGACAAAATTCTCACTCCTAAGCATTCCATTTGTTGAACCAATGGCAATCACTACCAGATCCATGAACCAACACAAAAACAATCCACCACGAGAAGAGGAGGTTGCTCCTCCACCTACCAACCCAGTCCCAAATGCTCCATCTCCAAATCCCCAGCAAATGTTGGAGACCATGCAGCAGCTAGTGGCCCAAAACCAACAGATACTGCAACTCATGCTCGATGGACAAGGAAGAGCACAACTTGGAGGTGCACAACATGGAGGACCCCAAGGAACTCCACGTCTTGGGCATCAAGAAACTCCACACCTAGGCGCCTCTGCAGGGCTGGGCACCCCCTTTGCAGTCCCCTTGGGCGCCCCAAATAAGGGAACCCCTCATGAGGGAGTTCCACCTCCTCCTCCTCCTCCTTCTCCTTCCCATGGTGAGGACCCTCATCTCCAAGAGGATGAGGGCGAGAACCAAAGCATAGAGTATGAGAGTCATTTTCATGATCATTCCAAGGAAGTTCCAAATCATTGGGATGAGAAAATGAAGGAAGTACAAAATCAACTGGGTGATGTCTTTAACGCCATGAAGGCACAGGGACCTAAGACAGTGGACTACCTAGTAAGGCGTACAGACACGTCTTTCAAACCTGACGTAGCGAACTACCCTCTCCCTCAGAAATTCAAAATGCCATCTGTGGAGATCTTTGACGGGACGAAGGATCCACTTGACCACCTCGACACCTACAAAACTCTAATGCAGCTGCATAACGTCCCAAACGAAATTATGTGCCGGGCATTCCCAACCACATTGTAGGGGTCCGCAC